CGATTCTTCCTGTTTCTTCTGTTTCTTGAGTTTTTGTTTCCGTGCTCCGGTCCTTAAAAGCCTCTAGTTGTCCTTCCTCCATGTTCTCAGGGGACCTTGTCAAATCAATCACATCCATGTCTTCTTCATCCCGAAAAAGTTTCTTATCAGGTGGCCCTCTTGCCGGCGGATCGCCCTCCATCGCTGCTCTCCATTCTTCCGCAGGAAGATCGTAGTGCTCCGAAGGGTAGTTCAATACTGAAACCAAGTCAACTGTACTCGAAACCTTGTCACTTGTGCTGTTTGTGTTACTTCACACCTTCTTCTAGAGAAGCTCCCCCCAATCGCAACGACTCGTCGCGGCTTTCGCTAAATTGGAAGTAACGGTAAATGTATGTACAGACAAGTACACTCTCCTACATGTAAATGATGTGCACCGGGTGGTTTAAAACCACCCGGTGCACACTGGTTTTATTGAAAGGAGCGATATTCAAACCGCCGTATCAGATAGAAGAAACCCATGACCGTAGCGCCCCACAAGACCCAGTTATGGGAGCAACTGAAATTGAGGCTGCGGTGGATTGTACGGAGCATGGCGTCTGTAATGGGCTGTTTTCGCAAGATAGGCATGAAAATTCGCCGCATTCCAGTGATTGCAAGTTTGTGTCCTGGTAGCAGCCCAACGTTAAAACCGAGTTGACTTCGATGATGCCACGAGATATGGCATATCTTGGACAAGATCGACGACGCTGAATTGACGTGGTCGGTGGTTCCAAACCTGTTTTACCATCGGAATACTGCAAACAACGCGAGTTGGTGGGAATGTAAAGCTCGGTCCTCTCGAAGACATGGCTGAAACTGCATGAGCTGGCACCACAGCAACCATTGCTTCCAGGTGCTCGAGTATTTGGCTGACGATGTTGCCGCCAGAGATTTGGTTTGCAATTGGTGGAGAACGTCTTGTAGGTTTTTCTCCAGATCTGAGGTACCGGCACCTTCTTCCACAGCACAGAAATGTTAGACCAAATTGATGAAAACGGTTCAACCCAAGATCTCGATGCCGCATCCGCCATTGTGTTTGACGCTCCTGGAAAATGAGACGCCGAAATCCGAACGTTGAACGCAGCTTCACCAAGGCCGATTGCGCAGTTAATTTCTTGGCTTGCTGTGTTCGAACTTGAGAGCGTATTATTCCAAGCGACCGCCGATGCGTTGTCGCTCCAACAACGAATGTGTGTTAACCAGTTTGGAGCATTTGGCCTCCAATTTTGATCCCAGGTCTACAGCGCGAGGTCCATGCATAGGTGTTCGCGAACGTTTATGGAGAATTCGCCCGACTTCATTTGAGCTTGTTCCTCAGCATCGAGTCGCTCGATGATCAACTCGTTGCGCTCAGATGTTAGTACCGCCAGTCCTAAATCTGAAGCATCCATGTAGAGATGAATGTCTGGGGGTGGTGTTGCGCCGAACATTCAAAGCGGCAACTCCGACAGATGAGCATCACGTAAAACGTAACGGAACCATTTCAGATCGTTGATGCTGGTTGCTGTAGTTTAATTCTTCCGAATCGAGGCCAACGAATCATCGCCGAGTGCAATTTTTGAATGAACGGCTTCGCTGATTTCAGACACAGTGTGGTGTATCGTAGGCTACCTAGAATCTTTTCGAATTTATGTTTTGTTGCTGATCCCCTAACGAGACGTGCATTGATGCAAACGATACCTTTTGCAATTTTGTCTTCAGGAATTGACAGCGATCGATACTCTGTGTCCCAAATTAGTCCAACAGCTTTTAGCCGAGTCGACCACACGGAGAATTTTGCCTCGTTGATGGACCGAGGGCCCGGAATGGCCAGCATAGCATGACGTAGAGTGAGTTTAGCTAGATCTAGTCGGTTCTCGATGTCCATCTCGATCATAATGTAATCATCCGCCCATTCGTAGCCGAAGAATGGTGTAGTGTCAGCTGACTCTGAAACCTATGCCGGATAGTTTTGCTCCACCAACCAGGAAATGGCTCGACCAAATACAGCATAGAATTGTGGGGACTCTGGCCATCCAAATAGAGCTGCCAGGTCGATTACCAGGGCATTTCGTTCTCGAACCAAACCAGCCATCCAGTGTACATGTTTTGCGTGAGTCATGAGATGTCTGAAAGCACCTTTCACATCACCCTTGAGGATCCGAATTGTATGTCCTGGGTGGTTCGTATCGAGCATCTCGATTCTGCGTGCAAGCACTGTTACGTACTCGTAATCGATATCTGGAAGGCAATTTTATAGAGATAATCGTTTGTTGACAAGCCTGGAGGAGAAGATAAGTCGTGAAACAGACGGACTTCAATCTTTGGGTCCACGTCCGCTTTTTCAACAGCACCAAATGGACTACAATGGACAGATGGCCATTGGAGAGGAGGTCAGCATCCACAACCAGAAACTTTCCGTTGTCTTGCCCATCACGAATACACTTGAGTGCGGCAGAAAGGTTGCGCTGAAAAGACAGATGATGTTTCAATTCCTTTGGGCAGCTCGTATGGTTATCTCTCCAGCTTGGCTTGATGCCATGGAGGGCGATTTGTTGGAGTGTTGAAAGATGAGGGTATTCTGCTAAGAGGAGACCCAGACGATAGCGGTCGAGTGCTTTGTTGGACGAAGGCCTGGCTGGATTCATCTCGAAGTAGACTAACCGCTTTTTCGATTGATAACACCCGGTCTCGGATGAGAGTTGAAAGCGAGTGCTTTGTAACCGTGTCGATGTTTCCTTCCGGAAATGTAGAGGCGCTTGAGCGAGTGAAACACATCCGATGTAGACGAGTTGCATGCCTGATTTCGTGTCGTAGTAATTCGTCTTGGAGGTGTTGGTGAACAATTTGTGCCGACTTCCTCAATAGAGGGGTGATGGGTAATTTGATAATCCCCCACATTCTGCTGTTTGTTGTGGACAACGAGACTTCGTTCAGGATTACAGGCGCGTACGAACTGGGGGAAGGGTTAGATTTCATGACAACGAGTGCTGTCGATGCATTCTGAGCTGAATTGGCTGCAATATGGTTGGACTCCTGCGTCGGAAAGATCAACGCGTTAAGCTGAACAATCAGGCGTCACAGGTTCGTATACTCGTTCTTGAAACCACCGAATTTTTCCGTAATTAGGTCACGAATCCGTTTGCCGAGGCTGTCCGGGATAAAGTGAGCCTGGGATAATGCATAACACGAGGTAGCACTGTCTGATTTGCATCCTGCATTGGATAGGTATCGTAGGTACATACGTTTGTCATTTTTGCTTGGGAAAGTGCATATATCTCAGGTGGGATGGAAGGCTCTGTGTTGATGACTCGGTTGGTTTTGTTGGGACTGACTTCACGGGATTTGGGAACTATTTGTTGTTTTTGAAACCCGCTTTGGGGCTTTATCGGGGCGGACGCAAATGCTGCCTGCAACTCTTGCATATGGCGTTGCTGGATTTGATGTAGTAGTTGACGGAGATCGGCTTCATCAAGTGAACACCGAGTTTCACATGCGATCCATCGCTTGTACCTGCATCCATTTCGACGCGAAAATTTACCAACAGCGAGTTTACCCAGAATACTATCAGTAGTAAATCCGTCTTTTGCCAAGACTATTGACGCAGGTTTTGCTTAGTAAACAGTACAAATTTTCTCACCAATTCGGATAACGTCGCTGAGAAGTACTCCATACCAAATGTCTCCAGAGAAAAAAATGCATCCAACACTTGATCGATTGATTCAGCTTGCTTTGCCGGCGGTAGCGGGGCCGCCGCCGAGAAGTTATGCATATTCACTCCTCCGGTTAGAATCCACACAGCTTTCTCGGACAGTGTCTGGATAGGCGTGAAGTGCATCAATGAGATCCCACGAATTCCGAAGCTGATGTCGAATATGCGTGTCAGCACGCTCGGTAGCGGTTCAAACGTGACTGCCGACGAGTTTATGAGATCTTCGATAAATACAAAGAACTGTTTACCTTGGTGATATGAGGCCGTTATTATCTTGTGGATACGACGCTGAGTCATAGATGGAGTGAACGCATTCTTCGCCCTATTTTCTCCGCCACGATTTCCTTGTTATCTTTGCCACTCGTATCCCTCCAGCGTTGTTGATGGATTGATGGGATGTACGGTTGATACTGTATTGAGGATGCAACACGCTTGACCTATGGCTGGGGTGCGCTGCCCACGAAGAAATTGGGGCAGGAGCCGAGCCGTTCGAAGCTGGAAAAATCGATCAGCAAGTTCTGGTCGATTTTCCAGCACTTGTACAATTTCAGCATCGGTGTCGCGGGTACGTGGCTCACGACGTTCGATCGCTTCCTCCCATGGGTTAATACTGATTGTTGGGATTCCGCTCTTCGTTTTCGCGTAGGAGGTGGTTCTTCGTCCGTTGGTGCATTAACGTCGTAGGTTTCAGGCGGCTCTTTATAGAGTCATCATCATCGTCGACTATGGGGTTGAAAAGATCCAAAGAACTTAGGACGGTTTGCGCGAGTGGGATTTCCGACTCGAGTAGACATTCTGGTACGGGGCACAGGGGGTTGACGGAATGACGAACCCACCGTGGTGGAAATTGGAATTACGTGCTCGTCCACATAGTGCCCGTATTCAATCGCATGCTGAAGAGGGAATTCTGCCACAGACCCAGTCTTGGGGTCGGTCTGTTGACATTGTGCGCCGTCAGTGCACGCGGATAGATGCGTCGTCGGCAAGGACTCATGCAGTGATGACCCATGTGGATCCGACGGCGGTGGCACGTGCGGCACGTGCCTAGAACTGGTGTGATTGGATCTACCGAAGATTCGGCAGTTCCAATAGTGAAACCAAGTCAACGGCCAACGGTGGTAAACAGATAGATGATATGCATCTAGGAGTACGAGTAGGACAGTAGGGAGAGAAAGACAAGATGGTAGATGTAGTTTAAACACTAATTTCACTTCGGCATTTGCCCTCTCCTACCCAAGCACATTTCTACAGGTTAACAGCCGCAAGAAGCTCAAGACGCACGACCGTTATGACCTCGTCTCAGAAGAAGGCCGAAGTCGTCCTGGGATGTGACAATTACTTCCTCTGGGAATTCGTCATGCGAATGACACTGGCGAGGAAAGGGCTACTGGCGCACGTGGAAATGGTGAAGGACCCGGCGACGATGACCGAGGCCTGGTTACTCAACGACATGAAGGTGCTCGGTCTGATTGCTCAAGGGGTTTCCGTGGAGCACTACACGAAGATTCGGTCGGCGACCTCGGCCATGCAGGCCTGGAACACGTTGCTCAAGTACTACAACAGAACAACGATACACAACCGGGTGACAATGACTCGTCGACTCCACGAGTTCAAGAAGGAGGATGGGTCCACGATGGCCAGGCACCTGGATAAGTTTGATGGGCTCATCGTGGGGCTGCAAACACTCGGTGAGCCCCTGGGTGACAGCCGACAACTCATCATTCTGCTCAGCAGCTTGCCAGCTGAGTATGAGTTGATTGTATCAATAGTGGAGAACATCAAGGACGTGACCCTGATCGAGGCGAGGGAGAAGTTGCTCAAGGAGTATGAGCGGCAGGAAAAGCAAGAGTCTTCGGAACATGCACTGAAGCCTACGTCATTTGGCGGCAAGGGAAAGAACGGAAAGTTCGGCAAGGTTGGAAAGCGATACGCCGGCAAGGGTAACGGCTCACGAAGACTCGGTGAGTTCACGGGGAAGTGTTTCGATTGCGGACCAGTCGGTCACATGAAGCGGGGGTGTAAAAAAGGCCAACCTTGGGAGTCACGAAGACTCATTATTCGCCGTTGGGGAAGATCGATCGGCAGGATGGCTGATCGACAGCGGTGCGACGGCGCACATGACGCCACACCGCGATGACTTGTACGAATACTCGGTAATGTCAGCAGAGATGAATGTAACAATCGCGGACGGAAAGAAGATTCGGGTAGCTGAGACGGGGTCGGTGCGACTAAAGGAATCGACGGGAAATCCATCCGAATGATGGAAGTACGGCACATACCCGGCCTCGACCGTCGACTGCTCTCTGTGGGGAAATTGGCAGATCGCGGTATGAGCGTGGAGTTCCAGCGCAACTCGTGCATCATTTGGAACGAGTCCAAGGCAATTGCTTCGGGGAAGAAATATGGTAAAGCGTACATATTGGCCTGTCACCAAGATACGGCGTACTACACTGAGTCGCGGGAGTCGATAGCGAGTGGGAGCTTTGGTACGCTCGCATGGGGTATCTCAACGAAGACTCGTTGGAGAAGATACGACAGGTTACCACCGGTATGCCGAAGACTCGGCCGACGGTGAAGACGTTATGTGGAGGATGCATGAAGGGCAAGCAGACGGTCACGCACTTCCCGTCACAGTCGCGGCCGACGACGCCACGCCCTCTGGAGCTGGTTCACACGGTTGTGATGGGCCCGATGAAGACGAAGTCTAAGGGCGGGGCCAGATATGTACTAGTCTTCGTGGATGACTACTCGCGATACGTCGTGACATACTTCTTGAACAAGAAGAGTGAAGTTGCCAACACGTTCAAGCTGTTCTTGACCATGTACGAGAACCAATGGGGAGAGCGCATCAAGTGTCTGCGCTCAGATAACGGCATCGAATTTGTGAACAAGACATGGACAAGATTTGCCAGCAATACGGCATCATACATCAGAAGACCGTCCCATACAGTCCACAGCAGAACGGCGTAGCCGAACGCATGAACAGAACGATCATGGAGAAGGCTAGGAGCATGCTCCATTACAAGGGTGTGTCAGCGATGTCGTGGGCGGAGGCCGTAAACACGGCAGTGTACTTAATCAACCGATCAACGAACAGTATGCGTTCGACGACGCCTCCGTACGAGTTGTCGTTCAAGGATAAACCTCGCCTGAACCATTTACGCGTGTTTGGATCCGTTGGGGGCGCGCATGTGGACAAGTCCCGAAGCGAAAAGCTTTAAGTGCATGTTTCTAGGATATGCCGAAGACTCGAAGGGATACCGAGTTTACGATTTGGAGTCCAACAAGGTGAAGGTATCCAGATCGGTGAAGCTGGATGAGCGTGAAGTCAATGGCATATATGATACGACGACTGCAGAAGACTCGACAATCATCTATGCGAGGAAAGACGTCGAAGGTTCGGCACTGACAGAGCGGACGGAACAACCTGCGGCATATGAACTAATGGATTCTGTGGATGAAGAAGAAGTTGAAGATGTGGAGATGCAAGTGGAGTCCGATTCATCGCCCGGGCAGGAGCTAACTACATACCGAAGAGTCGCGAGACCGACGATGGATGAGAATATGGTATTCCACCCAGAACCAATACGTACCCGACGCGTACAGGAACCAGTACTTCTTCTCATAGACGGATCGAGACACGGTGGTGAGTCTTCGTCAGCAAATAACGATGACCCGGAGAATGATGACCACTTCTGGCCACCATCACCCAAGCGACCAAGGTTTGACGAAGATAGCCTGCTCGCCGAGGCAGTACTAGCGTATGCTGCAGACATCGGAAATGCTGATGATGCGCCCACGACGTATCAGCAGGCAAAGCAAAACAACGAGTCTTCGGAATGGGCGGAAGCAATGAACATAGAGCTTAAGGCACATGCGGACAATGGGTCATGGACGCTAGGTCCGCGGACTCCGAGTGCCCGACCAATCGGATGTCGATGGGTCTTCGCGAAGAAACGAGATGAGAGTGGACGAGTTGTCCGGTACAAGGCTCACTTGGTTGTAAAAGGGTTCAAGCAAAAATTTGGAGTGGACTTCTTCGAAACCTACTCACCAGTTGCCAACATGAACTCAATCCGAGTTGTATTGTCGGTAGTGGTGGCGTTGGAGTACGTGACGGAGCAGTTGGATGCGGACACAGCTTTCTTGAATAGCGAACTCAAGGAGCGTGTGTATATGGAGGTTCCGTACTGCATCACCAACGACAAGAACATGATGTGCAGACTCGACAAGGCAATCTACGGCTTGAAGCAGGCAGCGAGTGTTTGGCACAAGACAATCCACTGAGTTTTTGTGATGATCGGATTTCGAAGCTGCGGTGCCGACGAGTGCGTTTACGTGAAGGTCATGGAGGGCAGACATGTGTACGTCTGCATATATGTAGATGACATGATTATAGCAGCTAAGACGAGCGAAGAGATCCAGAAGGTTAAGGCGGCACTCAAGAGAGCGTTTAAGATGAAGGAGCTGGGCGAGGCCAAGTTCATCCTTGGAATGGAGATCGACCA